TACAAACAGATTATTGATAACAGAGCTGAATCTGCCTGATTTGAGCAATGTTTAGAATGCTGCAATTAAAGTCTTCATGAATTAAAAAGTGACTCTTGGGGTGGGTGACCTGTCAGCGGCTGGTGGTCACCTCTGGTCTTCTCAGCCATGTCCTCTCAGCTCCTGCCTGGAGAATGTCTAGCCAACCCTTCTTCATTGTTCTGACATTTCAACTACTCCCTTCTTTAAACCAACATGCAAAATATTTCCCTAAGAATCTTCATAAAATACTTTCTTCATCATTGCTCCCTTTAAAACTCTCTGTGAGGGTGAATTTTATGTCAACTGGGTTGAGCCATGGACCCCAGATGTTTGGTTAAATGTTATTCTGGATGCTTCTGGGAGGGTGTTTGGATGCTATTACCATTTAAATTAGCAGTCTTTGAGTAGATCCCAGCACCCTGCACAATGCGTGTGGGCCTCATTCAATTACAGCCTTAAGTAGAGGCAGACTGACCCCCACCCCCTGCTTGAAGGAGCTCTGTTGGCAGACTGCCCAAGGACCAGCAAGTGCAGCTCTTCTCAGTCCCAAGTCTACCCACGTGCCAAGGGCACACTCGGGAGTTGCCATGCCTCTGCAATTGTGTGAGTTGATTCCTTAAAATAACTTTCTCCCTCTCTGTGCATGTGTGCGCGCGCATTTGTATGCGTGTGTGTGCACGTGCGCACACAGCCTATTGGTTCTGCTTTTCCAACATTCCCTATTTTCTATCTCATCAAGCTGGACTCTTGACCTTGGGTAATTATATGCTAAATGAGCAAACAAGGAAAGGACCTACATTTTGCAAGTTTTCTCTGTGGTGTTTTAAATTTCCTTCCCCTTTACACATCTAGTTAGTGTTCTTTTATTCACCACCCTCCCTACTTATTCAAAATATCTTCCATGGATTCAAATTTGCCCATCATCAACACATTATATTGTTTTAATACATTCAGGCTGTCAGAGCAAAATACCATGCCTTCTAAACATCAGATGGTCCCGGAAGCTGGGAAGTCCAAGATCAAAGGGAGGGCCCAGAGCAACTTCTTGCTGTGTCCTCACCTGGTGGAAGGGGCAAAGGGTCTCACTTGGGCCTCTTTTAGAAGGACACTGATAACATTCATGAGACTCTTGCTCCTTGAATCGCCTCCCAGAGCCTTCACCTCCTAATGCTATCACCTCAGGTTTTAGGATTTCAACATAGGAGTTTAGCAGAGATGTTAGCAGAGTTTAGCAGAGACCACAGCATTCCACACGTGGCCCCTCCAAACTCAGGTACTTCTCACTTGTGAAATATATTTATTTCATGCAAACATCCTCCAAAGTCTTAACTCATTCCAGTATGACTCAAAAGCCTAAAATCTAAAGTCTCATCTAAATATCACCTAAGTCAGATATGAAAGACTCGAGATGTGAAGCATCAAGAGGCAAATTCCCCTTTACAAATTACATGCTTTTGAAATATATAATGGGGCAGGCACAAGAGACACATTCTCATTCTAAAAGGGAGAAGGAGGAAAGGAGTAAGGTATGGCAGTGCCTGAGAAAATCAACTCCAACAGCCAACGACAACAAAACTTGTGGCTCAAGAGTGATTCCCTTTGCCAGGTGCAGTGGAGAAAGCCTGTAATCCCAGCGGCTCAGGAGGCTGGGCCAGGAGGATTGTGAGTTCCAAACCAGCCTCAGCAATGGCAAGGCTCTAAGCAACTCAGTGAGACCCTGACGCTAAATAAAATACAGAAAAGGGCTGGGGATGTGTCTCAGTGGCTAAGTGCCCCTGAGTTCATTCCCTGGTACCTTGCCCCCACAAAAATGTGATTCCCTTTGATGTGATCTGCCCTCCAGCCTCCCTGGGTTTATGGTCCTGCCTTCCCTATGCACTGCAGTGGGAGATTCCACCTTCTAGACACACTGGGTCTTACCTTCTGGAAACTGCTGCATCAGTGGTCCAGCCACATAGCTTTGGGAAGCTGCACACTCTGCCGCGCGACCAGCACGCTAGCTTCATACTAGAGGTTCGAAACATAGAAGTTAACTAGTGAGATCAGATTAAAGACACATAAAACTCAATTTACCTTTTTCTTGCCCAGCTCAGAGACGGCTTCTCTCGGCTCCTGCCTAGACCCACCTGGCGGTAGCAAGGTTTACACAAGAGGCCAGCAGGAGAGAGGAAGAAGCACGCCAGAGAGTGGGCTTTTATTGGGGAACAAAAAATTCAAGGGAAAATTCCATCCAATGAAGGTCGAGGGGGACAGCATTCCAAAGTCAGGGTCAGTGATTGGTTTCCAGGTCAATGGTCAGCCACACCCCCACACGGAGAAGCCCTCGCACCTGGAAAGGGTGGGGAAAGCTCTGATGCAGCTGGTCTGAGCACCTCACACCCAATCTGGGAGGTATCTCAGTCATGGTTTTACTATAAACCATCAAGAGAAGCCAACCTATACCTTGAATATTTTGCTTAGAAATTTTCTCATCTTTAAACCTCCAATTTCATTGCTCACAAGTCCTATCTTCCACAAAACACTGGAACACAAACATAATTGAGCTAAGCTCTTTTCACATAATAAGAAAAATCGCCATTGTTCAATAACATGTTTCTCATTTCTGTCTGAAACCTCATCAGGAGGGCTCTTACCATCCATATTTCTACCAACCTCTGTACATGACCATGGAGGTATTCTCTGAGAAGGAGACTCTCTCTATAGCTCTTCTCTCCTTCTGAACCCTTACAAAAATGCCCTTTAGGGTTCATTAATTGCAATACAAGCTTTTTTCCCCAGCATGTACTTCAAGCCTCTTCCATTTCCCAGGTCCAAAACCTCTTCCGCAGTTTTAGATATTTATTATAATAGTGCCCTCACTTCTCAGTAGCAATTTTCTTCGTCCATTCAGGAAGTTATAATAAAATATTGGACACCAGGGAACTTATAAACAACAGAAATTTATTTCTCACAGTTTAGAGCCTGAGAAGTCCAAACTAAAGGCAGATTCTGTGTCCAATGAAGGTCCACTTTCCGGCTCATAGTCGGAAACTTATTGCTGTGTGCTTATGTGGTAGAGGGACAGGCAGTCTCTGGAGCCTCTTTTATTGAACACTCATCCCACTTATGAGGGTTCTTTCTTGGTACATGGATAGGCAGCAACTTTCATGTCAATTTATAATGGATGCCTGAAATACTGTTGGGAAGGATTCTCTAGCTGCCTCTGCCTTAGCACCAAAGCATATCATAATTAATGAGGAACATCAAGGATTGGAGAGGAAAAAGAATAATGTGTCAAGTGTTTGCTATATTTCCAGTTTTAGGATAATCATTAAAAATCAAAAATAGTGCTGAAACTTTGGAACGAGCATAGGTCTACTTTCAAATCGTAGCTCTACCACTTACTGGTTTTGTGTCCTTGATAAAACGAACTAACCTGAGTCTCAAATGCCTCACCTGTGAAATGGATGTAATAATAACTCCTATATTATGGTTATGTATCACTGTAGAATGATCTTAGAGGTTAGTGGCATAATTGTTACAATTTGCCAAGCTTGTGGGAAATTCTTCCTTTCTTTCCAGGCTTTAGACACCTCAGATAAGAAGAATATCTGTAAGGATCACTGCCCTTTTGATTTAAACATAAGAAATGTGCATGGGATAAAACTTAAATACTAAAATTATGATTTTATTGATTAAGTAAAAAGGAAGAGAGAAAAAAACTGCATTTTTTTCCACAAATAATAATGGCTACCTGCCATCCTACAAGTAGCACATTCTTTAAAACATATCTTTTCAAACAGTGATTCAGCCAAAGTTTATTGAGTGAGGCACAGATTACATAGGACAACTGTGTCAAAACTCCAAATATTTTCATGAAGAATGTGGAAACTGATGTGGCCACTGTGAAATTCTTCCTTCCATGTGGGCTCATGGTCCTTCATGAGAGAAAGAGTCTACTCTCTCCTCACCTTGAACTGGAGATGGCCCAGATGACTTGCTTGAAAGACAGTGTCGTGGTAGAGACATTCTGGAACTTCCTGAGCTAAGTCATAAGAACTCTGTAGCTCTCACTGGTGCTCACGGAAGGTTCCCTTACAAGAAGTCAGTCCCCAATGACAAACCTAACTGCCTCCCTGAGACTGCTATCCGGGAGGAATCCACACAAACTATGCAAAGAGGAAACATGGAGATGGTGGTTCAGCCCCCGTGATTCTACCCATCTTTACTGGAACAGAGAGACCCAAGAAGAAGCCATCTTGGGTTCACACCCAGAACGTGAAATCTAAGAGGAGCAAGGAAACATTGAATAGCAAGGACAAAAGCTCTTTGTTATAATCCCAGTCACACCATCCTAGCTATTTAAGCCCCTGCTGCCATGGCCCTAGTTAGTCATCACGACTGAAAGAAGAGCCCTGTCTCTATTGGACCCTGCTTGAATTCCTGAGCTACAAAACAGAATAATGAAAAGTTTTACGCCACTAACCTTTAAGTTTATTACTACAGTGATTCACAACCATAATTTAGGAGTTATTATTAGATCCATTTCACAGGTGAAGCATCTGAGACTCAGATTAGTTCGTTTTATCAAGGACACAAAACCAGTAAGTGGTAGAGCTAGGATTTGAAAGTAGACCTATGTTCATCCCAGGGTTTATGATTCTTAACCACTATGATAGCCATTCTATAAAGAAGAAGAGGGAGAAGGAAGAGAAGGAGAAGGAGAAAACAAAAAGGAGGAAGACGAAGAGGAGGAAGAGGAGGGAATAGAATCTATTATTCAAGGGAGTAATTAAATCTCTTAGAGTTGACAAGGCTAACTAACTTATTGTGTTTAGTAGGTAACCAAGCTGGAACTAAATCTTGGTCACCTTACCCTAAGGTCTTTGGTTTTCCTTCCTGGCTTGTTTTCCTACTATAAAATGTTTAACTCTCTTGCCTGGTAACTGTATGTCATCGTCTACTTTGAATTGTTATAACAGAAAATAACACAGATTGGATAAATCATAAAATAGAAATTTATTCTCCCACACATCTGAAGGCTGGGAATTCCAAGATCAAGTTATGCTCATCTGGTGTGGGCCTTCTTACTGCATCCTCACCTGGTGGAAAAAACAAGAGCAAGAAGTAGATGAATGTTGTGTCCTTATGTAGTGGAAAAGCAAAGAAAGTCCACTCTTGTCAGTCATTTTTATAGGAGCATTAATCCATCTATGAGGACAGAACACTCATGACATAAATACCACCCCAAAAGTCCCACCTCCTAAGGCTGATGCTTTAGGGATTGAGTTTCCAACACAGAAATTTAGGTAGACTCGTTCAGACCACACCACCATATACATGCCATCTTTTCTGCATGCAAACCCTGAAAAGGTACCTCAATCTAGCAGATCTTTGATCCTACAAAACTCACCCAATTTAAACTCAAAAGCAGATCAGTTCCTTAAGTGAACTAATCATAAAGCCAGTGATCAGAGAAGTAATAAAAAAAATGAACATTTTAAAAGTAATAATTCTGTCTTAACTAAAGACTTATAATTGAAATGTCTAAAGTGCTAGTCAGAAGGGAATTGGACTAATCTGGATATGAGATGAGGCGATAAATGGTAAATTCTACTAATGTCTAAAGTTCTCTAGAAGACATTAGTAGAAAAGCAAAGCATACTGAAAACTTTCTTCAAATGGCCATTGAAATTAAGCAGCATTTTGTCATTAATGAGCAGTAGCCATGGTGTTTCTCATATGGTAGACATTTATTAAGTTCAAATTAAAACCTATTCACATTACATAGAAATAAATCCGCACACAAAGCCAGAATTCTCTGGTCTTGAGAGAAACTTTATAAATAAAGACTTCAAGCAGTGCTTTTAACATAGTAGACAGGTGGAATTTATGCAGTATTTGTGAAATGATTGGTGTCAGTTTTAAACATTACAGATTAGAACAGTTTGACTTGTTCCTTGGCAAAACTTAAATAAAAAGTAAGACTTGCACATAAAGAAAACTGGCATTTAAGTGCATTTTGCAGGATCTTTGAGGTCTGTATTCTTATCCAGTGAATCAGTCCAAAGATCACTTTTTCTCAGAGAGCCTTCCCTACCTAGTTAAGTTTCCATCACCCAGTCATTCACTTTGCTTAGTTTTTTCAATGACCTTTATCAATTCTTGATATTGTTATATATATTTAGTTGTCAGTGTTTCCTCTGTCTCTCTGACTGGGATTAGATCTGAAAGAAGGCATGGATATTATTGTTCTTGCTGACTGCTTCTATGGGCCAATATCTAGGACTGTTCCTGGCAGACAAGAAAATACCTTGATGCCTGTTAAATGGCTAATTCTATGACATCAGGAAAGAGGTAGAGGTTGGGGAACAAGGTGAATCAATGTTCCTGACAAAAGTCTGCAATGATCCTTATTTACAGATTCTCCCCTGTTTGAAAGAATATATATATAATAATACATTATATATTATAATGTATATAATAATACAATAATATAATAATAATGCAATATTGTATTAATACTTTGAGATATTCAAAATTACTATAGAGAATTCACACTCTGCCCTTCAATACAAAAGGCCTGCCCTGACATTCACTGAATATAGAAATCCAATCCTGTATTGCAGAAATTTTATTCAGTATCTTTTTCATCATTTACTAAACTATCAAGTGCCAATCAAACTATTTTGAATAAAATAAACGAAATCAAATAAAACCAAAATGTAAACATCAATACATTGTTAAATTTAAAATACTGTTAAAACAGAAAAAAAATGGAAACAGCTTAAAATTCGCATGAAAATTAAGCAGAAACATCTAAAAGGAGTTGTTAAATAGTGCCATTAAGGAGATAAAGTACCACTCAGGCTATTTTCTAACCAAATAACAATTTGTTAATATAAGCACATTGGCTGCAAATTAATTCCTTATCATGTAAAATGGGCATGGATTTCATTCTCTTCACTGATGCCAACATCTACCCTCTAAAAGCTACTTAAAGGAAAACAGAGAAACACATTTTTGTTGTGTGAATCCTTGCTTGAGACTAAATATTACAAATTATAATGCTCTGTTCTGTTGTTTTGTAAATTCAGGTGAATCTTATCATGAGGGTGGAAAACACATTCAGGGTCATGGAATCTGCTCTTCTCTATTACTGTGGGTTTGACCTTGTCACTGTGGCCTTAAATGGCAGTATGGATATCATCTTGTTCACTCCTGAGTATTCCTAGTGATGACACCCTAGCGACCTTTTCTGAGCAAATTATGCCCAAATCTCATCAACCCTACATTTAGAAATACTTTCCTAATGTCCAGCTTAATGGTCTAGATTCAGGCCATTCTACCTCGTTATACTAACCCTTAATACTCTGAAGAATTCCTCTTCCTGTTGGGTGTTATCACCTCCCAAGCAGCTGTGCTCTATCATAGCCATTTGCACAGTTTATTCTCTAAACACCATCAGGCAAACACTATTCCCTTAACCTCACTGAAAAGTCCATGCCCTACAAATCTCCTATCATCCTTATTACCAGGGTCTGGATTCCAGCCCTTTAAAGAACTAGAATATCTTTGCATATGGAAATGCCCAAGCAATTTCTTCCAAATGACAATCCCCTGGCTTCCCTTGGACCATTTACATTAGAACACTTGCCATTTTCATTTTTCTCTCACTGTCATTTGACTTGTACATATTCTAGAACCCAGCAATGTCTTTTACAAGGACCTGAGAGCCATCCCTTTGAAATGTCCCCAAGAAAGATAGTGCCCCATCATCCTATGAGAGCACAGGAGCCTCACTTCAGTAAATGCCAATTAGGGAGCCCAGATGATCTCATCTAGCAGTGACTGCCTTCTTCTCATCAGTTTCCTGTCCTTTCCTGCCATAGGCAGTGCTGAAAATTCCCCCTACCTTTTGTTTCAATGAAGATAAGTTCAAATCTCTCTCTTCCCCGTGGCAATAGTCTTGAATCCAGTCTTCCTTTCTATTTAATTAGTTTGGTGCCATATTTCTTTTACCTAGATAAGAGAGGCAGCCTTAGTCACTAAAAGTTTTGGGGTCCTTATAAGTCACAGAAGGATTTGGGTGATGGTTAAACTTAAACATGAGAAATTTTCAGTACAAGTAATGTTCTATATAAACAGATGTGTCAATTTGGGGAGATTTTATTGAGTAATACATTAAACAAATAATTTATTTGTTCTAATTAGTTGTGTGAAACAGTGGTTCCATTCCAAGTTTTCTGGGGAATCTGCAGACTGCTTTCCAGAGTGGTTACAACAATTTGCAGTCCCTCCAGCAATGTACGAGTATACCTTTTCCCCTAAATCCTCGTCAATATTTATTGTTGCTTGTATTTTTTTTTTTTAAGAGAGAGAGCGAGAGAGAGAATTTTTTAATATTTATTTTTTAGTTTTCGGCGGACACAACATCTTTGTTTGTATGTGGTGCTGAGGATCGAACACGGGCCGCACACATGCCAGGCGAGCGCGCTACCGCTTGAGCCACATCCCCAGTCCCTGTTGCTTGTATTCTTGATAATTGCCATTCTTCATGGAGTGAGATGGAATCTCAGTGTAGTTTTAATTTGAAATTTTCTGGTTGTTACAGATGTTGGACATTTTTTGAATATATTTGTTGATCAATTGTATTTCTTCTTCTGTGAAGTTTCTATTCAGTTCCTTTGCCCATTTATTGACTGGCTTATTTATTTTGGGGGGTGTTAAGTTTTTTGAGTTCTTTATATATCCTGGAGATTAGTGCTCTGTCTGAGGTGTGTGTGGTAAAGATTTTCTCCCATTCTGTAGGCTCTCTCTTCATGTTATTTATTGTTTCCTTTGCTAAGAAGAAGCTTTTTAGTTTGAATCCATCCATTTATTGATTCTTGATTTTACTTCTTGTGCTTTAGGAGTCTTGTGAAGGATATAGTTTTCTTTATGTTCATTAAACTTGAATCAATAACCATATTTTAAAATATAGTTTGAATTCTACTTCTGTAATTTACAATGTTAAGTCATTGGATTGATTACTTAAATTCTCCAAACCTCAGTGTTCTGAGGGAGGTGGGAAACACAGGAGCCCATAGAGGCCATTAAATATTGGGAAAGCAAAAGGGGTCAAGTGACCAAGAAGATAAAGGAAAGAATGTGTAAATGGATGGAAATGTTCATAATGCAAGAGTCTGATAATATCTTAATGTGCATTTTGAACCTCTGGGTATGCAGGAGCTATCCAATTATTACAGTTATTGCAGGTGCTCCTGACAAGCTTGGAGATGACCCAAGTGAGGTCCTGGTCAGCCCCTGGCTTGTGCATGGGTCCTGCTTCCTGATCCACACTCCATTTCATACAGCTCCTTCAGATTTTATTTTACTTTATTTTATTTTTTTAATACTTGTGTTTTTTAGTTGTAGTTGGACACACTATATTTATTTATTTTTATGTGGTGCAGAGGATCAAACCCAGGCCTTCAAACGTGCTAGGCAAGCACTCTACCATGGAGCCACAACCCCAGCCCTTGATTTTATTTTTACATACAAGTTAATTTCAACTTTGTTTCAGCTATATAATAATCTATTTCTCCCTTGCCCCCCCTGGACTATTGTGAAATCAATAACAGATGTTATATAATTTTGTGTAATAACTTCAGCTTATGTTCTTAAATTGTGGCAGTTTTTTTTTAAATAAGTACCATAGTTGATACTTATTTTGCTAAGACATAAATAAATGTGGCAAATTATACTAATTGGTTTATAGTAGAATTAAACTATATTATATTAGCAATTTTAAAAATATTAAACATATTATTATGTCATAAGTACTTTTTTACATATTCCAATCAGGATGTATACACATAATGTTCACATTTTCGTGTTGGTGGGTATTTCTCTCAAGATTCTTTAACCTCTACCTTCATCTTATGTAAGTATGAAGTTTGATCATTTAAGGTTATTTGTCTTACAAAGTTTCCTATAGTGTATTTTTTTTTCTTTGCTGGTTCCATCCCCAGAGTTTGATTTATTATGTTCCTCTGTTTCCCATACTTATTGTTATTATTTTGTCATTTTTATGGTATCTTTTCATAACATACTTCTCTCCTCTGGCAAAAAATTGGAGAGGAATATGAAAATCTTAGAGGTTTGAGCTATGCCTGAACATCTCTCTAATCTCAATAGCAATTCCATTTGTATCTCATGTTCATCACCCAAGGCATCTGGTTTTCTCAAGCATGGAGTGGAATACTTGGAGTACACATTGGATCTCTATACAAATCACTGAAACGTTGGTTCTCTCTCCCTCTCTGTCTCTCTTATTTCGGGGGTGGGGGGTGCAGGGTGGCATTCAAACTATCTTTATTTTAACCATATTATTTTTAAAAAAGTTTTAGTTTTTTTAATCTTTTGAGCATCTGAACCAGGCATGGTAAGAATTTCTTTTTTTTAAAATAAAAGTCTATTATCTCCATCATTAGTATTTTTGATACTACAGATATTTTAATATTTATTTTGCTAAAGCCAAGATAGAAATAAATGTTTGAAGTTCTACAAACAGGTTCAAAGTTGAATTAAACTAATTTGAATTGTGCATCACTACTCTTCAATTCTTTCCTGCATTACATTTTATTTAGAGATCCTTCCGTGAAATATTTAGAACACAAATAGTAATTGATAATTTATGCCAGCTGAGAAAGATCAACAGGGGAGTCATACCTAAATTAAAATACATGTCACCCAGGTCTATAAAAAATAACCAACAATAAATACATTCAAGAGTGGGGAATTCAAATAACCAACAATAAATGCATTCAAGGGTGGGGAATTCAGACTTTGGAAGCTAGGTGGAAACTTACTCTGATTCCCCAAAGCAGGGTTACTAGAGCCAGGCTCATTTATTGCTACCTACAAGAAAGAATGTCTTATCCTCTGTATTAGTTTCGGAGGGCTTCCCTAACACAGGGCTACAAAGTGAATGGTTCAAATGAACAGAAAGTTATTCTCTTGCACTTCTAGAGACTGACATAGAAATGAAGATGTCAGGGGTCTGTGCTACCCCAAAGCCTCAAAGACAGGATCCCTGTTTAACTCTCCCAACTCTGGGTGCCCCAGACATCCTTCAGTCAGCACCAGTATAATTCTAGTCTCTAGCTCATCTTCACATGCTCATCACCCCTCCATCTCTTCCTTTCCTGGACTCCAGCAGTAGGACCCACTCTACCTCAGTAAGGCCTCACCTTCATTATGTCTCTGAAGACCCTCTTTTGAATTAAGATTCCTGCACCAGTGCCAGGCTTGTGACTTCCAGATGTCTTCTGGGAGGACATGGTTCAACCCATAACATCACCTTCCCTGGGGATATATGCAAATCGGTACAACACTGGTTCTTGAATTCTCACTTTGCATAATAATTATCTACCTGGGGCAATTGGAAAAATCACTATTTATAAGGTGGGTGTGCAGAATTTATCTGCATAATGATTAACCTCTGCAGAAAAAAAAAATACTCCCTGTTTTAACATGGAACAATAAAGGGGGAAATGACACAAGTTATTCAGTAGGTCTGAATTTCATTTTTTGTTGTTGTTGTTTTTGGTCTGGAAGACAGGAATATCTGTTTTATCCAGGTATCAATTTCTTATGGATATGTGAAAGACGAGCCAAAGAAACGGCCAAAAGAAGTACATCCAGAACCAAGTTCCTCTAAGACTGCTCCATACCTCACCCCACCCCATCCCCCTGCTGACCACCCACACCAGAGGCCAGTCCTGCATGGTGTCTGTTCATTGGCTGGTTCTGCTTTTGCACATCAACTTCCTGTTCAAGTCGAGTTCTGTCTTTTGGGGTCTGAACGCATCCAATGACCCCTTCTAGTCACTTCCACATATCAACAGGATCCTTGATCAGGAATTACTCCAATTTTCTTCTGCCTTGAGCTTCTCATTTATCATCTTTGGTACTGTGGAATCCAGAGTTGAGACGAGATGATTTTAACCTGAACACATTTGGGATTCAACACATGTAAGAAGAAATAGATCAAATTCCACTGTAAGTTCACAAGATTCAGAAGGAATAGGGGAAGCCAGTTGGGCAGAAGAACAAGAAGATGAAATATGTAGAAATCGGGAGACGTACAGGAAGGGGATCCCCAAGAACAGAAGCATCAGAAGACAAAGAGTGGAAGACCTGGCTTCACAAACTCTGGCTTGTTGACCATGTACCTCAGGAAGAGAGAACATCCTCTACCTGTTCTCAAAGAGTCGGAAAGAGCACGTTGGAAAACAGTGGCATTTTAAAGTACTTAGTGAGCCTTGCTCCCCACCACCCTTCCACCCCTCACTCCATGCCCTGTTCCAGCGTCAACACCCACGCTGCCCATTTATCCACACCACAGCCCACAACAGTCCTTTAGTGTGTCCAGCTTACTTCCAGTGTGTCCCTGATTGGCAGTCCTTCTCCAGAGGTACACCTATCATTAATGCCAGCAGAAAGCATTACTTTTACAAGATGTCCAAGTATAATTGATTATACTTGGCCTGTTTCCATTAAAAAAAAAAAAAAAAAACAGGCAATTGACTTTCACTTTTTTTTCCAACTACATTCTTGCACAAACAAGGCTCTCTTTAGCCCTCAATAGAATACAGAACATGCTGCATATTTCCTGTGTTAGTAAATTCTTTGTTTCATTTGCTCCCAAGACCAATATAATTTGGCTCTTACCTCTGGAAAATTAAGCAAAATGTCAGGAAATGGCATCAAAATCAAAGCCCAGTAGAATATAAATGGGCAAATACACAGAGAACCTTTGATATGTACAGGATGACTGTCAAAGATCACAAAGTTATGAGTATTAATTAACTCTGACATTGCAATTAATTTTGTTTCAGATATGTGTCACAAAACATTTTTATTTATAATAGGAACTTTTACAATTGTATTAGGTATTAATATTAATTTCTCTCTGTCCTCCTTTCCTTCTTTTCTCTCTTGCTATGAATTTCATTAAGTTCTCACTCATACTTTGC